CCCCCCCCCCCCCCCCCCCCCTCCCTAGCACGCCGTGCCCCAGCCTCCCTCAGCATCCACCCCCAAAGCACCCTGCGCCCCCTCCCCTGACACGCCTGGCCCCACTTCCCTCAGATGCCACCCCCTCCCTGATACATCCATGGAACACCTCCCCATCACTCCCTCCCCATCTCTGTAGATTCCTACGACCCTCAGATCATTTTTGTTTTAAATTCATTCACAGGATGTGGACATTTATTGCCCGCAGGGCAGTTAAGGGTCGACCACATTGGCTTCACGTGTAGGCCAGACTGGGTAATGGTGGCAGCTCCCTTCCCCCAAAGGACATTAGTGACCCAGAGAGATCTTTCCAATGTCTGACGATGCTCATTATTAGACTCTTCACTCCAGATTTTTGTTTCTTTTCGATTGAATTCAAACTGCACCACTTGTGGGACTCGAACCCAGGATCCCCAGGAAATGTCCTGGATATGACTGTGCTGTGATAATGACACTGGGGGCCATCACCTCCTCTGATCCCAGCCTCCTGCACACACCCACCCGGACACCCATCCAGCTTCCGGTCGTCGCTCCCTCGCAGCTGATGGCTCCGCGCGGTGTTAAATGATGCCCATACAGCGCTGGAGCACCCTGGGCCGGCTTGGCTACGTCAGAGGCGCTACAGAAACGCAGCAGCCGACGAGAGTTGCACGACTATGCGCCGTGCTCCGGAGATGAAAGTTCCTGCCTCATCGGCCCAACCAGTCTCACGCACTTCAGTTGGGCGGCCACCCATTCAAGTCCCGCACCAGGGACCCGAGCACAGAATCCACTCCAAATCTCACAGCGCCACACCCAGGGATCTCCGCCCTGCCCAAGGCTTCAGTCGGGGAACTGTCCCCAGCACCTATTTCCTCCTCAATCTACAAGTACTGCTTCCTTCACCATCATTGCTACTTGCTACGCACTAATTGGCTGCTTCATTTCCCACATCGCAACAGCGACCGCCCCCAAAAACAAAAAGTACTTCATGGGCTTTGGTGTGACCTGTGGTCGCGAAAGGTGCCGCAGAAATGTAAAGCCTCCCTTTGAGACACTCAGGGATGGGAGGACTCGACAACACTCACGTATTTCTCCAGGTACAGCGTAGGATTATCCATCAGCGCCTTCACCATCCGCATCAGGTAGATCAGCAAGGCCAGGTTATTCTGTACCACATTCACACGCACCTGAGCAGAAGGAACAGGAGCACACAAAGACTGAGAACGGCCATTTTATAAGCACCCGCGCTAGGAGAGGTCCACCCAGGCCGGGTAAAGATGTTTCCACTGAATTCCCATGGGATTCTTTAGCAACTGCGTTATATTGACAGCTCTTAGTTCTAGCCTTGCCCTTACGGAGAAATATCACTATCCTAGAGAACGTCCTACTGAGCCATCTCTCCGCTTTATAGAATCATAGAATCCCTACAGTGTGGAAACAGGCCCTTCGGCCCAACAAGTCCACACCGACCCTCAGAACACCCACCCAAAACCATCCCCCTATAACCCACCTAATCTACACATCACTGAACACTATGGGCAATTTAGCATGGCCAAGCCACCTAACCTGCACATCTTTGGACTGTGGGAGGAAACCGGAGTACCCGGAGGAATCCCACACAGACACGGGGAAAATGTGCAAACTCCACACAGACAGTCACCCGAGGGAGGATTTATCTTGACTGTAGACCCTTTGGTCCAACTCATCTGTGCTGACCAGATATCCTAAATTAATCTAGTCCCATTTGCCAGCATTTGGCCCCTATCCCTCTAAACCCTTCCTATTCATGTACCCATCCAGGTGCCTTTTAAATGTTGTAACTGTACCAGCCTCCACCACTTCCTCAGGCAGCTCATTCCATACACGCACCACCCTCTGCGTGAAAAGTGCCTCAGGTCCCTTTTAAGTCTTTCCCCTCTCACATTAAACCTATGCCCCTCTAGTTTTGGACTCTCCTCCCCAAGAAAAAAGATCTTAGCTATTCACCCTATCCATACCCCCATGATTTTATAGACCTCTGTAAGGTCACCCCTCAGCCTCCGACGCTGCAGGGAAAATAGCCCCAGCCTATTCAGCCTCTCCCTGTAGCTCAAACCCTCCAATCCTGGCAACATCTCCCTCGGTCAGACCACACCAAGTGTACTGTACACAATTCTGGTCTCGAGATCCCTCAGTTAGTGAGTGTGCTCCATCGTTCAACAAAATTACGACTTATCGTCTACCACGATGCCATTTTCCTGCACTATCCTCACGTCCCTGGATATCTCTTAATTTTGAGAAATCGATCAATCTCATTCCTTGACCACACTCAATGGCAAAGCTGCCACCACTTTGTGAAGCAGAGAATTCCAAACCTCCAGAGATAAGAAATTCCTCCTCATCTCAATCCAAAATAACCTGGCCCCTTATTCAGAGACCTTGCCTCCCCCCGCCACCACTCCGGTGCTCAATGACACAACAGGCAGAGAGAAACATCCCTTCTACATCTACACTGTCGAGCTCTGAGCTACGATATGTAAGAGGTGATTCGGTTAACTGCAGCCAGGGAGAGTGAGGCAGAGAGAGAGAGAAAGATAGCAATGTCAAGTTGTTTTACCCCTTCTGATATGAAGGTGCTGAATCTGGGTAACATCTGGTACAGGCCCGGGTCAGTGGCTATGCTCTGGAGGGCCTCCTGTGTCAAAGAATGAGGACAGTGATCAGCCCCAAGGTAATGACAAACAGAACACACTGCTGTGTAAGACACCGCGGTGCTTCCTTCTCAGAGAAGAGATCTTACTGCACGTTTAGCCTCGCAGGAGCCGACACAAGCCTCTGTTATCTCCTTGTAATACAGCTGCTGCTCCACAGACAGCTCGTGCGTGGTCCTCGGTTTCAGTTTCAGAACAGCCCCGTCCAGCAGAGACTTCTTTTTATCTTTACCTGAGAGAGGGGAGGGAGGAGCCGTTATCATACAGCGAAGGCACAAGGGCACGCGTAGGACAGCAAGGATGGGAACAAGAGAGGGGAAGATGGGGAGGGAGGAGCGTTATTGTACAGCGAAGGCACAAGGGCACGCAGAGAACAGCACGGACGGGAATGAGAGAGGGGAAGATGGGGAGGAAGGAGCCATTATTGTACAGTGAAGACACAAGTGCACGCGTAGGACAGCACAGATGGAAATGAGAGAGGGGAAGATGGGGAGGGAGGAGCGTTGTTGTACAGCGAAGGCACAAGGGCACGCGTAGGACAGCAAGGATGGGAACGAGAGAGGGGAAGATGGGGAGGGAGGAACGTTATTGTACAGCGAAGGCACAAGAGCACGCAGAGAACAGCACGGACGGGAATGAGACAGGGGAAGATGGGGAGGAAGGAGCCATTATTGTACAGTGAAGACACAAG